TTCGTAGTTCGGCAGGATTGAATTGTGATAGAGTGGAGATTTATTTGTGTTCTGATGGCAATCGTGCACATTTTTAGAGACTTCAATACTGCTTGGAACTGCATACCTCACCTACACTTAGTGAGATGGTTTGAGGTGCCTTTGCATATGATACTCAATCCCTTCTAGTAATAATCCACTGCACCATGGCAGCTCAGCTGTACTTTCGTGACATCCCTCAATCGCATTTGTTGCCTCTCAAAAGGAATTTTCCATCAGGATATGGTTTATTCCACATACTGTAAGCGTGTAACAACTAACAGACTACCTCCAGAGCTCATAGACTGACACACTTCCTTGGCCCACCCAATCCCCAGATTTTTTAACGTTTGAAAATTTGGGGGATGACCAGGGTCGATAAATTAGGCAGTGTAGAAGTTTGGTTAAACTACAGGAATATTTACAGCAATTGGAGAATGGGATGTCACAGGACACTATAAGAAATATATATGCTTCAATGCTCAACCATATTACATTGCACGTTCAGCTTAGAGATGGCCCAACGAAATACTAGAATCTGTATTTTTTGTAATAAATCATCCTTTGCTTACATTTCATAATCAAACAAATAAACATGAAAAATTTTAACAATTCCTTCTTGATTTGTTTTATTTAATGTGTGTATCATTCATTTTATTATATATTATTATTTTCATTTTAATTTTTTCAGATTAATTTAATTAAACATATATGTATATTCATATTATGGTAGCAATTGATAACTTATTAGAAATCTGAATAGACGATATTATTAAAGTAAACTTAAAATCACCATAAAATTAAGAACGTTTTAAAACTTTATTAATTTTATTTTAGTTTAAAAAATACACTTTTTTAAATTCCTACTATTAGTTCATACTCTCCATATATATATATCTTGTTCAAATGTACAATCGTTAATAAAATAGTTTTTATTCATCCACTCAAGTTCAAATAGATTTTTTAAAACTTGTAGTGGATCACACTTGATGTTAATACAGTTTTTGCAAATATTAATTAATTAATTATATTTTTTTTAGATTTAAGTTGCATATATCTAATAATAGATGGCGCCAGATGTAATAGGAAGATTTCAACTTTATTTATAAAGGACTTTCTGCAATATAGTGAAAAAAAAGTAGGAATTGACTCAAAAAATTTTTTTTATATATTACTTGTTTCGATTGAATTATCGTCTCTGTTATAGGGTAACGTTTGCGAGTTGACGCAAAGTTGTTTCACAAAAAAGAAATTGCTCTTTACAAATTAGCTTCCTTCGATTCTGTGCGCTATTTTTTTTTTTTTTTTCTTTCTGACTATTCAATTATCTTTTAAACTTTTGCTAATTATTTTACTAGTTAAAATCTATATGGTAAACTTAATGATTCTTCACAAAATAGCTTCCTTCTTGTTCTGTGCAACAACTTTTTACCTCTGACGATGCAATCAGTGATTAAACTTTGTGTTGATGACTTAATTATTTTTTTGACTAGCTGCATCTAAATAAACATTTCTTCAACTCGCATTGGAATTTAAAGGTTTATGTTGAACTAGTATCGCTAACAAGAAAATTAATTTCCAATTTATTACTTGGTTCAAGATCTACTCAAATTATTTTTGTAGTGAGAAAGACATGTATTTTTTCCTCTCCACTATCGTTTTTAAATCTTAGATAATGCAGAATTCTTGCATACCGGAAACAACACGGAAACTAAAAGCGTTATACGTCATATGATGTGACAGCAAATTCTTGTGCCATATTGTGACGCATAATGTTTTCCGTTACCTTGTTATTTCCACAGGAAATATCTCTTAATTCTAAAATTTTGGTTTCAACGAGGAAATCCAGAATTTACACGTAATATATACTGTATAGCAAAGATAAGCTTAAAAAAAGAAAAACTCGATTGTTCATATATTTTTTAACGTAGTTTCCAACTTCAATGTCTTGTACGACTAAAGAATCTTTTTGACCTTGAAGAAATTTCTTCATTGCATGTTTGCGTGCTATTTTATCATTTGTTGGCTTCTTATATGCAATAACTTCCTTGTAAGCACATATTTTTAGAACATTGCACAAAAAACATTTTTAAAAGATGATGAAACAATTTTTCTACAATTTTCTAAATTAGCATGCATGGAATCTCTCTACTCAATTTGAAAATAATTTTATTGAAGAAGTTGTTATTTTTCAAAATTAAATTAACCCCACTTTAGTTGAATACATTTTTTTAAATGCAATAAATTTATCATATATAAAATGCTTTTTCCAAAGAAAAATATTCGATGTTGTAATTAGAAATAAATAAAGTGAAATTTGAAAAAATCAAAACTTGAAATGAGACATTTTTAAATGTAAAATTAGTAATATGACTCCTTTTAATTCAAGTAATAACAACAAAAAGAAAGGAAATAGTCCAATGAAGTGATATGTGGAGATCAGCTCCTTTCAACACAATACATATTATGTTTGTTTAAACTGTTGCATCTACAAATAAATTGATTTTTTTAAGGAGATTGACACCTGTACTTTGAACAATATATTCTTGTAACTTTAATAATTGAGATATAAATTCAGCTGACCATAAGACACAAAAATGAAATTGTGAAAGAGGAATGGAATGAAATATCTTCTTAACATTATCCGGAGAATAAAGCAGAAATATTATAAAATAAAGATGGCTGACAAATGAATCACAAACCAATTTTTGATAGATTGTAATTGCACATTTAAGTAAAACACAAAATAAAATTTGCTTTTCTTTTCAGGTGATTCGTAATTTGTCTGTAACTCTTTCGGCTTCTCTCGGCTCTTTCAGCTTTTTATTTACGAAAAAAATTTTTTTCTTTTACGAACGATTGAAATCTGAAGCGTAGTGTAGCAAAATTTGCTGACATTTTTGACACAGGAAAATTTTAATAAATGATATTGCACCGCTGTAATCTCATCTAGCTTTAAAAACTTAAAACTAAAGACGCTAGCTTAAGGATGAATTGTGTAAATTTGTTAATTGTGAATATTATGCTAATATTTAAAATAAAATGTATATTTTCTTACTTTAGACCTACATACTTATCTTAATCGACTTTCTCTTTTTAATTTTTTTTTTTCTTTCTAATGCAGCTGGCAAACACTTAAGACAGTTGTCTTTGATGCCTTAAAGCAAGCGCTGCATCGACGTTACTCACTTAGCACTACCCAGGTGTGTGTAGCTTGAAGATAAGCTACGGACGCGGAGTAACAATAGCCCCGCAACGCTCATGTTAGACCGGGACCTACGGTTTAAAAAGAATTCCCAGCTACTACAAACATCCATGGCACCGCCGGAACTCGAACCCGAAATCTGTGGTACCAAGCGCTAGCCACTCGGCTCCTCTCTTTTTCAAGTAAGAGTAGACAAAACATTCTTTTTAATTAGTTATTGAAATTTCATTATTTCTGTTGGCTATTCGTAAGATGTGGTGCCTAACAGACGTAAAGAAAAATTTGTATATTTAGTAATTTTTTTAATTTCCCTTTACTTAATAAACATTATTAATGTCTTTGTTAAATTGTATTTCTACTTTTCCTTTAACTTTAGTGCAAGTTTAACGTATAAAATATTGTAAATCTGAAAGATGGATAGCGTTTGAATTTTTTGGCAGTTCATTTCAAATACAAATAAGATGGATTTGAGTACTTGAAAGGAAGGATTATTAAATATTTAGAAAACAAATATTGTTATGTGAAACATTAATAATAATAATAATTAAAAAAAAAATTATAAGTAATAATAACATTCAAACTTAATTTTGCACTACAAGAAAAACTATGAAAAGCAATAGACAATAATTTACTTTTATTTTTTATCAGAAAATTACTTTTCAAAGAAGCGATATATTTATTAATATCTTAATAATATTCGGTTCTCTTTTTTTTTATAAAGCACCATGTTATTCGAAAAAGTTCAATAATTTGTTATTTTGAGATAATGATGATCTATCACACCAGTGCATTGGTTAATAATAATAATAATAAAATAAAAAAACTTCTTGTTATACTCTGTTGATAAAGATTTAGCATTTTTATTTTACTGTTCATTTAAAACCTTTAAGAATTTCAGTACATCATTAAAGAAATGTGTGAATATTTTACTTTAATTTTAACTTTCTTTTATTATAATAATCTAAAAATATTTCTACAAATAAAAAAAAAAATAGTTTAATAAGTAATTCATTCATACTCTCATGAAAAATTGCTCGGTTGCAAATGTCAGACAATTAAACAATCAGCATTTACCTCCCAGTATTTTTTAACAATACAAATACAACTTTTCAATGAGGTTAAATATTCACCATTTAAGGGCCTGGAGCAACTTAGTGAATACTTTGGATTTTCGTATTGAAAGAGCCCGATTCGAAATCTGACAAGCAAAGCCGAACCGGAAGTTCTTGTGTCTTTGTTGGAATTGGGCACGATAAATCCAAACTTATTCCATTGAACTCGATCAGAATACTTCATATATACAGAAGAGCGTTTTATCGGTGTTTTAGGCCCTCTAACACATTAGGTAACTTTGAATAACTACCTTTCCAGCGGCAAAATCTTGCTGTTCAAATAGAATTATATAAAATCCGCAGAATTGTAGTAAAAATTCTACACATTCATTTTATACAACTTTTTCTAATAAAAATCTATTCAATTAAAAGATAGCATAATGCTTAATTTTCTTAACTGAAGTTGTTTCTTATCCCACTTGACTGGCCAAGCCCATACGTGCTCATGATTGAAGGGGAAGGAAGCAGCTTCTGTTGTGATGGAGCACCCGTAGGTAGAAGCCTGACTTTTGCTCCGTGACGCTCTTACAGTCATAGAAGACTGGGACCTACAGCTTAAAGTGGATTCCGAACCACTACAAACATCCATGGCACCGCCGGGATTCGAACCCGAAACCTGTGGCACTGAGCGCTAGACACTCGGCCATTCAGGTCCCAAATTTGCCAACGGCACAAGGTGTTCCCAGGTGGTCACCCACCCAAGTACTGACCGCGCCCAATGATGCTTGACTTCGGTGATCTAAACGAAGTCAAGCATCATTGGGCGCGGTCAGTACTTGGGTAACTGAAGTAAACTTATAAATGCAAACAAGAAAAATAAAGAACAGGAATCTATTTAACAGTTTTTATTGGTCTTGTTAAAAATTTTTGTAACCTTATTTTCTAAATCTACTTCTAAAAATTTTCTGGATTTCAAACTATTAGAAGTCAAGTTTATTTTTAATCATTAGAAGATTTAATAGACAATATGATTTGAAAACGTTTAATTAATATTCGGTATATTGATGTGCTAAACATTTACATATTTTTATACATTTCCCCATCTCTTAAGTTTCTTGTCTGATTCATTCATTCTATGAGATCTTTTAATGGGATTCTTATTGATCGACGAGTCCTACTTGTTTACATTAAAAAAAAAAAAAAAAAAAGCTTAAATTATTAGATTTTGACGCAGTCTACAGAATCATCAACAGTAATTCAGTTTTGAAAATTAAAACAGTAGAAGACAATGACAAACAAAAGATCTGCTGGACGAACCTTCTTGAGAAGACCAGATCATCTCAAACTAATCAAGAAATTCTAATAATCTAAAATAGCTCTTTATAGTTCTACAAACTATCCTGTGAAGAGATAAACATTCGGTTTAAACGTGGAAACTGACCAAGTGATTATTTGCAATATATATGTTAATCAGCAGCGAAAAACAAATTTTGAAAGAAAAAAAATTACTGTGGAATATTTTTTATTCCATGTGATGTAGTTTAAAAATTAATGATTAGAAATATTTTTTTTTGTAATTAAAGCTCTTCCAAAACTCTCTCTCCAATTACATTGTTGTGTTTGAATCCACCTGACTTACAGGTTTGCCAATTTTCCATGTGATAACTGGTCCGACTGTATTATCCACTAGCGCAAATTAATTTCTCATAATACAGACATTTGAAATATTGACTTCTGGGGAAAAAAATGTCAATTCTTAAATAATGTTTAGACTCACCTGCAGTAGAATGCGAGTTTCCTCATAGATTCAAATATTTTGTGGGACTTTTCGGACAAATGCAGGCAGTTACCCATGAAAAACCTGCTAGTCTGTCCATTTTTGATAAATAAAAAATATTTATATAAACCTATTCACAAATATTTTGATTTATATATACTTTTAGACCCTAACAATATAATTTTAAAGTTATGACTTCTTTCTCTGAATTGCTCAGTTTTTATGGTAGCTTAATCAAAAGCTACATTAATTTTTATTTAAAAATAGAAAACTGAAATATCAGTTTTATAAAGTAAAATTGGGATGAAACAGAATTGTTGAAATAATTCTAATGATGTATTAAACAATCTTTCTCTTTCAAATTTGATTTTTTTTTTTAACAGGCATTAAAATCAAATCCTTGCTATCTGAAGAATTAAAGTGATTGGTGTTAAATTCTACATAAAACATAAGCTGTGAAACACTGTTTAAAAGAGTTAAATTCAATTATCTAGACAAAATGCCAAACATCATCTAGCATCACTGCTAAAAGTACCATTAATTTTTTGCTAAGTCAATTGGAATCATGTTGTTCATGTTAATATTTATCGTAGAGTTCTTTCTTTGTCTTGTCACCGACCTAACGAGAAGTCAGAGTATTTTGAAATTCTGCTTCACTTTTCAATTCTTTTCTATATTCCATGTCAAATATTTTTTATAACTAAAATTAGTACTGAATGCATTAATTTATATAAAAAAATGCAACAGATGAGAAATTTGGAAAAAAAAAGGGCTTATTTTAAAAAATTATTATATTAATTGCTACATGTATTTTAATAATATGGAACCTTTTATTAAAAAGAAACACTAACATTTAATTTTTAAAAGTTTGAATGGTAATTTAAAAAACCCTTTTTCTTAAACACTTCGAAAATCCATATTTAATGAAAAGTATGAAAAAACTATTTTTTTTAAAAACTATTTTATTTTCATTTGTCAATAAAAGGGAAACAGTTGTACAATTTGAGACAACCATTATATTTATAATCTGTTATAAAATCATTTTGCTCTTTTTTGTTACAAGTATTTTATTGCTTGCTGTAAATTACAATAGAACAAATAGTTTCAATTTTATATGAAATATAGAAGGCAACAATGGCATTTTAAATAACATACTGTAAAATACGTGCTGGATGCAGATCTTAATTAGAATGCTATTAACTAAATTTATATTATTATTAGTCAATTTTTGTAAAGTTTTTAACCAACTCTCTACTAAATCCTGCAGCAGAATATTAAAGGCTAATAATTTCTCTAAAATTTATATAACACAATAAGCTATCAATAAAAATATTCAGATATCTTTATCAATTATATATGCAATAAATATATCAATTTATCTATGCATTATCAAAGTATAATGCACATGCATTGCAAGGGTCCCCACCTTTCCATAATTAAATCACTATTAATTTAAGTAGCTAAACCTTAATTTTTTATATCTTAAGTCTGTTTACATATGGAGAATAAATATTAAAACAATTATATTTCCATAATTTTTCTCTTCTCTTCTCTTCAAGTCTTAATATAAATTAGAAGACAGAATACATTTTTCATTAATTACACCAAAGTTAACTGCATATTTTATAATATTTTCTTTTTAAGGTTACTATACCCATTTTCCAGTAAATCAAAAAAACCAAGCATAAAATTTAAACAGCAGAATTATGATACAATTACGGGGAAGAAAAATATAAGAAATTTGATAAATTAGCTGCAATTTATAAGTGGATATAAATAAAGGAAAAATATGAAGAACAATATTTCATCTTGTGTTACTTAGTGAGTAGTAATACATAATATCACAGACTTATGTATCTGAAGATAACAAGTATTAACGCTGCATGGAATTGGAATGTAATACCCATGTATATATTTATTTACAAATCAGTTAAGTAGTCAATAAAATATTCTAACAGTCTAATTCATTAAATATTTTTGGAAAGAATATCCATACATAAATCCTACAATGGACGGAAAAGTAGACATTTTTTAAAAGGCACTGCAATTTTCTGCTTAATGGATTAGAACCAAATTTAATTTAGCTATGTTGACTCAAGATATATGCGATTAACTAGACTTGAAATACAAATTGATAAATTCTACATTTCAACTGCATTGTAAGCATAATTAAGGTGAATAACATACTTTAATAACCGATTATATTCTCTAAAATGCAATTAAACTTATTTGTTATCTTCAATACATATATATTTCAATAAAAAAAAAATTACTAAATAAACCTACTTTAACCAATAATTATTAAATGAATCTCAAATTTCAAAAACCTGAAAGAAACATTTTTTCTTAAAATATATAAATTGATAGATATATTTTAAGTCATTTTGCAATTTCATTATAACAAATAACTCTAAAATGCTTGACAATACTGGTCGAAAGTTAATTGTCGGAAAAGATTTTTCGAGCATTGTGGATTTTGTAGGAAACTTCTTAATATATACACGGATGTTCACTAAAGTGTTAACTTTAACATACATTTTGATAAATAGTAGAAAAATAATTGTCAAACCTCTTAGATATAAATCATAAATGCAATAATATACATATGCAAGGAATGAATATTTGAAAATCATATAATACAACAAAATCTTAAGATAAAAATGAGTACATGATTATTTTTAAATGGTCATGTTAAAAATTCCTTTGGAATTTTGACTATCTTTGTTGCAAAATAAAATATCACTAGAAATTCAAAGCAGCATATTTAATAATTTGTAGATCTAATGTATATTTATTTTTTAAAAAAGATCTGAAATGGAAGGACGAATTACTGCACATTAATGAGAAAAAAACAACAACTTAAAAACGGAAATGTAATATTTAACTACTCTGAACAGAAATTATGCCAGATAAAAGTATAATACAAGGCAACCAAAAAAGCATCCAAAATGTCAATATAATTCTCATCTTCAAATTCAGCCACTGCACTACCAGCGATTCATACAATATACACATGCATGGTGAATATAATTTTTATTACGAAAATAAGAGTATGATTGCATTCATCCATGCTTTTCCAATAAATTTAACAAAATTAAAATTGTATCATTTGAAAGAAAATGTTTAAATGACAAAACCAGTTATAAATTTACAAAAAAATTGTGTATGTATTTTTGGGAAATTTTCGATCACCCTGTAGAATATAGTTTTTCAGTATATGGTCACAAAATTTAAGTCCTGCAAAATGATATAAATTTTGATAAATACTTAAATTATTGCAAGTCAAATTAAATAATATATGTATACATGAATGAAACATGAAATTACCTAAATAATGGAAATTCAGAAATTTAGATAATATTTTCTTTTAGACATTACTGAAATTAACCATATAAGTGAAAACTGAAAATTCCAGAGGGTCTACAATGCATTTGTATAATGAATATTCTATTAATTAAAATGCATAAGTTTACTTTTATACAAATTGGCAGGAGTAACATCAAAAAGCAAGCTTTTAGGTCAAAACATTGTAGCTTTGACAAATTAATGTTGCTCTGTATTATAAAATTTCTCATGAAGAGCAACAATTATAATACTTGTTTTACTTGTTCTCTAAAACCAAGTTTTTCAATTCTTCTTTATAAGCACCAAGCATTTCAGCAACCTAAAAATATAAAATATCATAAATTAACATGACTAAATTCAGGTAATGAAAATTACTCCAATGTTCATTTCAAAGACAATGTTAATGAAAAAGTATTTTCGCTAGTATTTTTTCCTAGTAAAATTTGAACAAACTAAATACATCTTATTTTCTGCAAAACCAGGTCATATCTACTAATACATACAGGCTACTAAAACAATTGAACACAAGTTTCTCTTTTAACATTTCAATTTTTTTTTTTTTTTAAAGGAATGTAACTATGAAATTTAAAAACCACTAGATACAGCTAATAAATAATGTAACAATATGTATATATAATATAAGAGGAATTAACCGATTTTTCCTAATTTGCTTTTTTCATTTTTAAAGAAT